CCCCCCCCCCCCCCCCAAACATCTGCCAGATCAAAAAGTCCCTCAAGCTTCTGCCAGCTCAGGACATCCCCCAAACCTTCGCCAAATCAAGATGTCCCTCCAGCCACTGCCAGTTTAGAAGGTCACTGAAGGCCCCGTCAGCTCAGGACGTCTCCCAATCCCCCACCCGTACAGGACGTCCCCCAAACCAATATGTGCTTTAAGCCTCCGCCAGTTCAGAACATCCACCAAGGCTTCGATGTGTCAAGACGTACCCCAAACCACCATGAACTCAAAATGTCCCCCAAACGTCCACTAGATCAAGACATCCCCAACTCCTGAGTAGCTCAAAACATTCCTCTTTGCCTCTACCAGCTCAGAATGCCATCAGAAAAACCCAAGCCTCCGCCAGATCAGAACCTACCCCAGCCTCCGCCAGATCAGAACCTACCCCAGCCTCCGCCAGATCAGAACCTACCCCAGCCTCCGCCAGATCAGAACCTACCCCAGCCTCTGCCAGATCAGAACCTACCCCAGCCTCTGCCAGATCAGACCCTACCCCAGCCTCTGCCAGATCAGACCCTAACCCACACTCCGCCAGATCAGACCCTAACCCACACTCCGCCAGATCAGAACTTACCTCAGCCTCCACCAGATGAGAACCTACCTCAGCCTCCACCAGATGAGAACCTACCCCAGCCTCCACCAGATCAGAACCTACCCTAGCCTCCACCAGATCAGAACCTACCCTAGCCTCCACCAGATCAGAACCTACCCTAGCCTCCACCAGATCAGAACCTACCCTAGCCTCCACCAGATCAGAACCTACCCTAGCCTCCACCAGATCAGAACCTACCCCACACTCCACTAGATCAGAACCTACCCCACACTCCACTAGATCAGAACCTACCCCACACTCCACTAGATCAGAACCTACCCCACACTCCACTAGATCAGAACCTACCCCACACTCCACTAGATCAGAACCTACCCCACACTCCACTAGATCAGAACCTACTAGGGTTGCCACCGGTCCCGGATTCACTTGGACAGTCCTGGTTGTGAGTCCTGTATGTGCTGTGTCTGGGCTTCAGCTGGCCTGAAACCTGGATACAGCACATACAGGACTCAAAACCAGGACTGTCCAGGTGAATACGAGACAGGTGGCAACCCTAGAACCTACCCCAGCCTCCACCAGATCAGAACACATCCTTCTCTCTCTCAGCCAGATCAGAACGTATCCCAGCCCATATCGAATGAGAAGCCGCCCCAGCCTCCCTGCCATCAGGAGGAATACAATGCCCGGTGTACCCAGCGGGGTCCCCGCATCCGTCTCACCTTTCTCCCCCCAGCCGATCTCTGCTCCCGGAGGTCCCGATCCGTCCCAAATCCCAGATCCGCTCTGCTCAACCGCCGCTGTCAGTCCATCCTCACCATGGCTCCTCCTCCCCGCCGTGTCACACACCCGACCAACTAGTTCGACAACTTTTTTTTTTTTTGTCTTTCTCTCTCCGGCCCGGAGACGGATCACCTGGGAAGGTGGGGAGGGGGCTGGCTTCGGCAGGCAGGGGCCGGGGTCACGTGACCTCAGGTAAGGGCAGGGACCGGGGGCTTTAGTGATGGTAATTACCTTCCTCCTCCCTCCACCACCTCCTCCTCCCGGCTATTTGAATGCGCTCAGGTTACTCAGTCAAATAAAAGGAAGATGAATACGAATTGTAGGCAAATGCGGGCTGTCGGTGAATAAATAGGATCTACACGCCATGTGTGTGCTGAGTGTGTAGATGGGGCCCTTGGGTGTGCTACTTGTGTCCCTTGTCCCCTGACTGGCTGAGATTTGAAGGGCTCTGATAATGGATAGAAGGTGACTGCGGCAACAGTAAGAATAGGACAACCCAAGGTGACCCAACCTTTGTACATTAACATCTGTCATGTCCTGTGATCATGTGCATGGTGTTAGGACAGCTGGAGTGGTCTGTCAACGCAGCAAAACATCACAAAAATCAAATGGGACAAAATGTTGTAACCACTGCGACCCACTATGGTGCCTTGCCATGCATTACGGCACACTACGATGCATGCGTGTTGCCTTAGCACATTGCTGTGCGATTCAAAATGAATGGTACCGTATGTAACATGCATTGCCGCATTTTGGGATAAAGTGTATTACTACAACACACAAATCTAAATGGGCCCTTAAAGTGCATGTATAGCGGAGAACTGCCCCAAGCCTCTGCCATCTTAGAGCCTCCACTAGTTCAGAATGTTCCCCTTAGCCTCCACCAGCTCAGAATGTTCCCCTTAGCCTCCACCAGCTCAGAATGTTCCCCAAGCCTCATCCAACTCATAATGTCCCCCAAGACTCTGCCAACCCAGAACTACCCCAAGCCACTGCTATCTAAGAGCTCCACCAACTCAGAATGTCCCCCTAGCCCCCATTAGCTCAGAAAGTTCCCCAAACCTCATCCAACTCATAATGCCCTCCAATATTCTGTCAGCTCAGAACTTTTCTAAGCCTCCACCAGCTCACAATGTTCCTCTAGCCTCCACTAGCTCAGAATGCTTCCCAAGTCTCGTTCAACTCATAATGTCCACCAAGACTCTGCCAGCTCGGAAATTCCCTAAGCCTCCGCCATTTAAGAGCTCCCTCAAGACTGCACCAGCTCAGAATGTTCCCCTAGCCTCTGCCAGCTCAGAACATTCCCCAAGCCTCATTCAACTCATAATGCCCATTGTAAGAATCCTCCGCCAACTGCGCATGCGCCAAGTGCGCAGTCCCATAACGCGCGGTTACGCTCTCTTCAGCGCATGCGCAGACGAGGCCATCCAGCGGAATGGAAACGCACACTCATCACTTCCCCTATATAAACCCAGCCTGAGCACCACCATACAGTATTGCTGGATTATCTTCAGCTCCCCTCTGTTCCTGTACTTCTGTGATCTCCTGTTTGACTTGTGACCCGGATCTGCCTTGACGACTGCTACCTGCCCTCGACCTCGGATTTGTTTATTGGATTTCTTTTATGCCTGACCCTTCTGTACCTTGATTGCCCGATTGGAATTGCCCCCGGCTTGTTTACTTGGATTTCGGCTTACACGGTGTTCTTCACCACTGGCACTCGTGCCACTCCCTGTCCACTTGGTCTCTGTACCCATCCCCAGAGTCCTCGGGACACGAGGTGCAAGGGAGGCCTTCTCACACATACGGACTCCACTCAGGTACGTGACACCCACCAAGACTCTGCCAACCCAGAATGTCCCTAAGCCTCTGCCATCTAAGAGCTCCACCAAATCAGAATATTCCCCTAGCCTCCACTAGCTCAAAATGTTCACCAAGTCTCGTTCAATTCATAATGTCCACCAAGACTCTTCCAGCTCAGAACTTTCCTAAGCCTCCTCCATTTAAGAGTTCCCTCAAGACTTTACCAGCTCAGAATGTTCCCCTAGCCTCTGCCAGCTCAGAACATTCCCCAAGACTCATTCAACTCATAATGCCCTCCAATACTCTGTCAGCTCAGAACTTCCCTAAGCCTCCAACATCTAAGAGCTCCCCAAGCCTCCACCAGCTCAGAATGTTCCCCTAGACTCCACCAGCTCAGAATGTTCCTCAAGCCTCATCCAACTCATAATGCCCTTGAATACTCTGTCAGCTCAGAACTTCCCCAAGCCTCCACCATCTAAGAGTCCCCCAAGCCTCCACTAGCTCAGATTGTTACCCTAGCCTTCACCAGCTCAGAATGTTCCCCTAGCCTCCACCAGCTCAGAATGTTCCCCAAGCCTCATCCAGCTCATAATGTACCCCAGTCTCGGCCAGCTCAGAATGCTCCCCAAAAGCCCCAGCCTCCATTAGATCAGAACTTACCCCAGCATTGTAAGATTTCCTGTCACCCCCTAATCTGGTGACACCTCTAAAATGTGAATTTCCTATCAAAGATGACAAACAGAGAGGGCAAAATCTCCATCGCAGGGTCATAAACCTTAAAATAAGTTCTAACTCTTTCCTTCCATGCCTGCCTGTTGTTTATTGCTCTGGAACACATCATTGTGTCTTGCGTTCCCACCAGAGGTGGCACACCATGGAGACCTTTTGGCTAAGATCAAGTGTAACGTCTGACCTAATCAGTGTCTAGGTTGGAAATCAATGGAAATTGTCAGGTAGGTTCCTGAGGATCTGTTCTCTTTGAAGGAAGAGCACAAGAAGTCTCAGGAGCAGAACATAATTGTTAGTATTTAGCTGATGAGGGGATTTGAAGGATCCAGTGCCTTCTGAAAAGTAAGGTATGCGTGGGGCTGGTAAGGTTGAAAGTCCAGGGTGCATGTGACCCTGGAGTGGCTTTGGCAGCCTAAGGGTGCGTGAAATATGCACTATAGAGTTGGGGAGCTATGTGAGTGGGACCCCCTAGTCATTGCACTACTTTATGATCACTTGATTTCTGGGTGTAGACCAGAGGTAGGCAACTTCAGCACTCCAGATGTGGTGACACTACAAATTCTATCATCCTTCTGCCTCTGGGATTCACGCCTTTGGCTGTCAGAGTCTTGCAATGCCTCATGGGACTTCTAGTTCCACAGCTGTAGTGCTGAGTTTCCATACCCCTGGTGTAGAGCATTTGTCAAGGAATGGAGTCATTTTTTAACCTGCCTGAAGAGCCTGACCAATGTCTCCTACACTGGAACGTATGTATCTTTCTTCACTTGTTTGTCATTTCCACTATTTCCATGTCTATTCTATTTCCAAGGGCAATAAGGATGTTGGTTTGTGGACCTGAAGTGTAGAGGAACAATATTAGGGCTGCAGCTAACGATTATTTTCATAATCGATTAGTTGCCCGATTATTTATTTGATTAATGACAGCTATTCTCATAATTGATTATTATAGATTAATCAATTAGTTGTTGGCGGCCCTAAAAACAATCTGCCCATCAGGTTCCTTCCTACTCGGTCTTAGGTCTCAGTTTGCGTGAACCTAACTCAAGGACGTCCCGAAGCCATGTGTCACCCAGGAGCGGGGATCAGGTGACACCCCGCCATGGTGTCATCGCGCATGCGCCTTACGTCGCCACACGCGTGCGCGATGACCTTATCGCGCATGTGTGGCTATCTAATTGACACCTGCCGATGGCCATCTTGCATATGGACGCCCGCAGAGAGGAGGGGATGTTTACCCGGCTGGATGAGGTATGCTGCCGGGTCCCCTCCTGACACTGTCGGGCTCTCGGTCCATGACCAAGTGTCCGACTTTTTTAGAGGGGGTGACACTAAAATGACTGTCAATCATTTTGGTGTCACCCCTCCAATGGTGTCACCCGGGTGCGGGGTGCACCCCCCTTGTGATGCCACTGACCTAACTTATTGCTCAGGAACAAGGGGGTTGTTTTACCTCAGGAGAATATGTGTGAAGCGTCACGAGTACCTTAAGCTTCGGCTTAATCCTTCCTTTCCTCGTGAATCACCCTCCAAGTTTCCTCAAGGGTTTGATGTAATTGTTATTTCCTTCTAGTTTAGCCCTAATCAGCTTGTTGATGAGTTGGCGGTAGAACAGGAGATTGTACTTAATGGCCTACAACCTAAGCTGGTAGATTTTTGTACGAACGTTCATATGGAATCTCATCAGAACATCCGATAATTCCATCAGAAACTTGACATTTCCTTTGATTGCTGAAGGGAAATCCCATTCACTGTTAGAATGTTGTTCGCTTGAGAAAAAATTCCCATCCTGCTCCTTTCATTTTTCCCCCGCTGCAGTGGAAAGCTATGGCCGATTTGACCCCATTAGCTATTAGAAAATCAAATGAACGTTCCAAAATCACTTTTTGAATGACATTCTACTAGTGTAGGTCCATCTTAAAGGAGAACTATGAGGTGAGTGCTTTTCACTCACCTCATAGTTCTAGCCGACCTGTGACAATGAGACTGTCACAGGTCGGCTCAGTAGATCGGGAAATGAGCGAACACATACCGGCGTTCGCTCACTTCTCGATCCTGTCACGGCTCTCTGCCGTGACAGGGGAGGGGCTGGATTCCCCCCTCCCTGATCCTCCAGCGCTGACTGGCAGAACGGACGGGGGAGGGGGCGGGTACAGCTGGCTCTGCCTCTAGATAGGCAGGGCCAGCTGTCACTCACGCAGCTGGGCGGATCCAGACATAATTGTCGGGATCCGCTTCAGCTGTGGCGTCTCAGTATACTGTGAGCTGTAGCTCACGGTACACTGCGGCGTCTCAGTATGCTCGCGGTATACTGAGCTTAGAGTGATGGGAGGACGCTAGTTTGTGTCCTCCCGTTACCCTAAGGAGAACTATGGGGAAAAGCCCTAACCCCATAGTTCTCCTTTAAGTCACCATGGCTGGATTGAACAGTGCTGTTTTGACTCTGGGTAGCAGA